ATAAGGGGAAATGTGATTGCCTCCCCAAGGGTGGAGAAGAGGAAGCTGAAATGGAGCTCTGGGGCTCTTATCCATTTTGCAGCTGCCGAGGTCCATCACCTGCTTTCTCTCACCCCTTTTCTTCCTCTCCTCTGTAATGGCAGCAGTGACAAGTGACTGCAGCGGGCAAACAAAACAAAACAAAACAGGATAGATTTGTTTGCTTCAGGAGCAGGCAGGGCCACAGTTCAGGGGGGCAGGAGGAGAAGAGTGAGTCCTCCATTGGACTCAGCCTGGTATCTGTGCCTCTGAGCATGTGCAAAATGCATTTCCCTCAAATGAACTACTACTGTCCTCACATGTCCCAGGATATGAGGCATGGTGCCCAGGCAGGCTTAAACCCCAGAACCCCTCACTACAGAAATACTTAACTATAGAAATCAAGGGCTGGGGAAGGGAGGGAATAAGATCCAAGAAGTTTTAAACCCAACCACCTCTCACAACAGAAGAATAAGACATTTGGGATGATCTAACCCATCTGTGCGGCTCTGCCTGTGTGGTGCGGGGTCATTTGGCGCAGCCCTGGTGCAAGAAGAGGCTCTGTGTCCTCCAAGCACTGGCAGGTCCTCATGCTCAGCCATTCACCCCCTGGGGCTCGCTTGCCACCAAAGACACGTAAACCAGTGCCTTTTATTCAGACCAGCCCAAGTTCCATCACAATGTGCAAGCTTCGCGGTCCTGCACGACGCTGAATCAGGCTGGCTGCAGAAAGCACCACGGCTTCTTATGGCCCACGGTGCAAACCTGTTCTTTTTCAGCAATGCAGCTTTCCCCGATCTTGCCATGGTGCAAAGTAGCTCCCCTTGCTCCACAGCCCCCCCGGTACTATGCAAAGCTGCCCTGGAGGGTGTGTGTGTCTGTGGCACTTCCATGGCCCAACCTGGCGGCTGCAATCCACTCAGTATTCTCAAGCCTACCAGCAAGCCTGGAGTGCTTTCCCTGAGAAGCCTCCCCAAGCGCATTTCTAGGCAACTGGACACAACCCGGGCTTGGAAGCTCACACAGAGCTACAGTCTTCACTGCAGCAGAAAATACTGGCCAGGTGAAGTTGCCCCGGGGGATTGGGTTTCGGTGGGGTAGCATCAGAAGCCAGACTGGGAAAACAGTCAGCTCGCTTGCCCGCTGCCCTGGCAGGCGCCTCACCAGGGAAAAGGAGAGCCGGCTGGAATGAGCTCTCTGCGGAGAGCGTACCATCCGGCTCTCCTTCTCCTGTAGCGAGGCAAATGAGCGCGGCTGGCACTCCCATCTTTGGGGACAAGGTGGTGGGGCGGGGCTCACAACTGAGGGGGCGGGGCTCACAACTGAGGGGGCGTGGCCCCAAATGCCCCACTGTAGATACGCCCCTGGGTATTAGGCAATGAGCTCCAAGGCCAGAGGAGCAATTGACAGGCAGCCGTGACTCTGCTTCACTCATTCTTGGAATTAAGTACAGTCTCAGTAAGTGGTCCAAGCAGCAACACTGGAGAGCCATTTTCCCTCCCACCGTACAACATCCCAACAGCTGTGAACTCAGGGTTCTCTCCTCCTCTGTGTTATCCTCACAACAATCCTACGAGGCAGGCTAAGAGAGAGAATGACTGGCTCATGGTCACCCAGTGAGCCTTCTGTGGTGGACGGGGATCTGAAGCCAGGTTTCCCCCAGCCCATTCAAACACTCTAACCCCTACACCACACCCTGACATCACTGCTGGAAGCCTTTCTGCTAGCCGTACAGTTGCCAGCTTCCTGGTGGGAACTGGAGAGCTCCCAAAATTAAACTGATCTCCAGACGACAGAGATCCGTTCCCCTGGAGAAAAAGGCTCTTTTGTAGGATGCACCTAGGGCATTATACCCTGCCGTGGTCCCTCCCCTACCCACCCCCCCCTCAGATACTACCCCTCAAATCTCCAGGAATTTCCTAGCCCAGAGTTGGCGACCCCAGTTTTAGCTGTCCTGTTACTAAAGATTATTACTGCCTCTAAAGTGACTGAAGTTTCATATATGAAGTATTGAGGGTCAGATGATGCTACAATGGACTGCTGGAACCTCTCTTCTTTTGAATGGACTGCCAGTCTGGGGCCAGGAGACCACACAGGAATCCAGCACCGAAAATTCCATTATGCGTCAGTCGATAAATTCAAGTTGTATCGAACACAGGACTTAGATTTAGGTTTCGGCTGTTTCATGTCTCTCCCCTCCCCCCAAAAAAATAAAATTTCTGATTATGGGCCTTTGGGTGGCAGCGGGGGGGGGGGGGGGACACAGTTCTTTTGTGCTACTAGGGATGGGATCCCTATCATCGGGACGTGGGTGGTCTGCCCACCAGCAGTGCCCTCGGCCGTCTCCAAGGTCTTGGCAGGTGCCCAGCCACGCTGACTGCTGAAAACCAGCCTCTCGTAGGGTTGCCAACCTCCAGATGGGGTCTGGAGCAATGTTCCCTCTAAGCTGTGGAGTCTTGTGAGCAAAAATTCTACTTTGTGAACTACTGGCATTAAAGTTGTGAGCAAGTGATTTGGCTGCTGCATGAATTAGTTTGTTCTGGAGCCATCCTTCCTGAGCTAAGACAAAAATATGTGAGCTGGAGGCTAAAAAACTGTGAGCTAGCTCATACTAACTCAGCTTAGAGGGAACACTGCTCTGGAGATCTCCCACTTTTACAACCAACCTCCAGGCTACAGAGATCAGTTCACCTGGGATCCCCTGGAGAAAATGGCTGCTTTGCAGGGTGGACTCTCTGGCACTGCACCACACTGAGGCCCCTCCCCTTCCCAAACCCCGCCCCTTCTCCAGGCTCCACCCCCCAATCTCCAGGCATTTCCGAATCCAGAGCTGGCAACCCTACCTTTCAGCCATGGGCAAACTGCATTCTGGGTGCAGCTCCCTCTCTCTGGTCACCTCCCTAAATTGCTCTCTCTTTCCATCACCTCCATTCCAATAGGGGAGAGAAGAACAGCTAAAGGCTGTCCAGGATGCATAAGAGACCAAACGGCCTTTGAACAGGTCCGCCCTCATGACGGCTCTTCAGTGATGTTCAAGGCAGGATCACCAATGTTTTTTACAGAGATCTGGCCTCTTCGTCTGAAGGCGTCTGAGCTCCAGCTCAATACACATTTTGTACACAGTGGGATCTGCATGACCCTTTCTCGTCTTGTATGCAGAATCCAGCAGGTGTCATTTCAAGTGCGGCGTATATGTTGCTAGGAATTCATTAGTCTCGTGGTGGCAGAGAAAACAAGTCTTTAAAAAATCCCCCCCCACCACCAATGTCACTAACTGGGAATGAATCAGACCTATAATTAGAAAAAACCTCACAAATGAAAACTGTCAAAAAAAACCCTCCGCCCCCAACAAACCAGAGAGAGCTTGAAAGGGAACTCTTCAGGGAAGAATTTTATGCAAAGAAAAAGAACACAAATGGCTTCCTCTCTGATTGCATAAATGCCAGTGTCTCGTAGCAAAACATGTTAGCCTTTGAGATGGCACCAGAATCATTTTTTTTGGGGGGGGGGATTTGCCCCCAATCTTCCTTATTTATTTATCTTCGGCAACTAAACAATTTGTGCCTAATCCATTCCCACTTTCCTCCTCTTAAAAGCCCTCTGAAAGATTAAAAAAAAGTCACAGAGGTTGTAGCTTTTGTTATTGTAAAAGGTGACGATTTAAACTTTTACAATGGGAAATAAACCAAAGCTATGGGGGAAAAAAAAGGCACCTTAACAAGTGGCTGTAAAAAAAGCACTTCCATGTCCCAGATACATTTCATCTGCTGGTGTGAGCAAAGCGACTTGCTGGGGCTACAACAGCAATTGTGCAAAAAAAGAAAAAGAAAAAAAAAAGGCTGAGGTATAAATCAGTGAAGGTTAATGATCGGGATGTGAACAGAGGGACTTGTTTACAGAAATAGCGTGCAATTTAAAATTTACAAGAGATTTAACGCTGTCGCTTCTCAATCACTAAAATCAACAGCCCAGAAAACGGTGACATTATGGGAAATATTATAGCCATAATCATCCCAAAATAAGTTAATTAGTGGAAGGGAACGTGATTGTGATTACTTGACCCATTTTGTTTTGCACTTAAGTGATAGCCCCCCCCTTCCTTCCCCATTACGGCCAGATCTCTTTTGCATCTCCTATGCCGTCCCCCCTCCCCCCTCCAAAGGTGGAGGAAGGTTTCCCTCTCTTTTCCTTGGTTTCCAAGTAATAGCGACCTTTCACATTTGTAAAAAAAATAAAAAAATAAAAAGGGGGGCAGTTTATAATTGCATTGTTCAAATGAAGGTGAAGGAAAAGAAATCCAATCTGCTATTATACAAACGCCATGATGGCTGTCTTCACGGCAAACAGCGATGGAAGTCAATTTGTGAACTTTGGCACCGGGTGACCTTTAGAAAATACAACAATATACAGAATTTACAAGCAAGAGTAGCACATGCAAATAATGGCTCTGACTCTGCCTCGCTTTTTTGGATTAGAGCCACAGAAAGCATTATGGAGAATGCTTTCACAAAACAAATTAAGACTGTTACTTAAATGTCAAGGCACACTATTGTATTTGGCTACAGATCATTACACCTGATACCAACACTTTAAAAAACTGTAATAACTTGGGAAATATTACACTGAATGCCCACATGTATAAAGCAAAAATATAAAAAAAAGAATGAAGAAAATGGGTTCTCGAAGTAATTTAAACATCACTACTCCACGACTGGAGGGAAAGGTCAAAATTTAAGTAAACTGAAAGGAACATGAATGGCAAAATAAAACACACAAACAGAAAGGCAAAAAGACAAAAAAAGAAAGAAAGGAAAAAGGTCTGCAAACACCACATGAAAACACACATGCTTTGGGCAAATTTTCTTTCTAATCCTAGATTTAGGGGGAAGGTGAAACAATGAAGGCACAGATTAGAAAGCCAGTGGATACTTGAAGGGGGGGGGGACTTGGAAGTTTGTTACCTTCGGTGTTGGTGCTGCTGCTGCTGTATATATTTCGCAGGCTACCAACACGGTTTAGTTTCCATGCTTTGCGTTTGGCTGCATCCAGAGAGCAGAAGGGGGAGAGAGAGAGAAAAAAAGAGAAGAGTAAAAGAAAAGGAAAGAAAAGAAAAGAATGAAAAAAAATGGGAGAAAAAAAGGTTGAAGTAGCATGTGAAGTAAAATTACGAGCAAAAAAAGGCCTTTTTTGTTCAACGAAGAGGCTAAGCATTGCACGACGTTTAAAGCTCAAAAACGCCAAGCTTTTTTCAAACTGGAGGAATATTTTTATTCAGACACTCCCCGCTTCTTAAGAACGTCAAAGCAGTCTCGGACTGTACCTGGACTGCCAGATGATGTGCAAGACAATGGCAGAGAAGGTGTTCCATCGCTTTCTGAACCCACCATACACTAATGAGGGTCAGCAGACTGCAACTCCGATTAATTCTCGGCATTCGGCGCCATGCTAGAACCCCCCCCCTTCCCCAAAAATAATTAATTGGGCTGCATAAATAAGAAGATATTTGGAACTATAAAAGCTTTAATAGCAGGTGACAGAGCAATACATTCAGATAATGCACAAAGAGCCTCAGGCACATTTTGTTTGTCTAAATGTTATTTGCTTAATGACGGTTTTAACTTAAGTAAACAGTGTCTGTATGCAAATTCTGTGCTTCCCCAGACACACGGAGTATAAATTCTTGTTTGTAAATGCAACATTTCTTAATTACAGTGTTACTGTTCTCTCTAGTTCCCCGCTTCGGTTTGGGTCTATGCTGAAACTGATTTGTCCGCAGGAGAAAATATGGGAAAATTCTAATTTCAGAAAAGCCAGTCCTGCCAAAATCTCACAACCAAAACCGAAGATTTGCCACTAAAGGGCTTCTTTTATGCTTCCCCTTTATTTTATATCCTGCTTTTCCTTGTGGCTCAAGGCACCTTACAAAGCACAATTCAAAGCATACAGAATGAACTAAAACCCCAAATAACTGTTATGCCCCCCCAAAGATACATACAATCTACACCCCATTAAAAGCCTTTGCAAATGAAATGGCCTTGCAGCACCTCCCAGAAATTTCTAAAGACACCCTGCCCCGGAAGCACTTTCCACAAAGCGGGAGTGACAAGGAAGAGGACACTGACTCTGGCTGATGCCAAATGCCCAACCTTAAGTGCAGGAACAGCTACTTAGAGGGCTTAAAAGGCATAACCAATGCTCCCTCTAAGCTGTGGAGTCCTGTGAGCAAAAATTCTACTTTGTGAGCTACTGGCATTAAAGTTGTGAGTGAGCGATTTGGCTACTGCATAAATTAGTTTGCTCTGGAGCCATCCTTCCTGAGCTAAGAGAAAAATGTGTGAGCCGGAGGCTAAAAAACTGTGAGCTAGCTCACACTAACTCAGCTTAGAGGGAACACTGGTCATAACCAGAATCTTGAACTGGACTTGGAAACAAACCAGCAGCCAATGCAGCTGTTTTAGGACAGGTAAGATGTTCTTGTTGCCTGCCGCGCTCTGAACCAGCTGAAGTTTCTGGGTTGTCTTCAAGGGCAGCCCAACCCAGAATACATTACAGTAGTCCAAACACGAGTTTCAAGTTGCTTTGTTACAAGCTCACTGTGGGTAATAACACAGCCCTGGGTGCTATCAAACAAGTGCCAATGAAATGATTCCATATCGGAGGTTGCGCTTTACAATGAAATGGCCTGTCTAGCTGATGGGAGATTTCAATATATTATGGGATAAGACCCAGGAAAGTGTGGTATCTTTTTAAAAAAAGAGTTTGTGTGTGTGAGAGAGAACTGTTTCTGGGAATCCCCATGCAAACTTTGAGTGCTATAAAACAGATCGTCTGTCGGACTGGCTCAGAACAATGATTGGGACCCTCAGGTAGGTCATGGCGCCTCCCCTCCCATGTCACAAGTGCCTATACAGCTTCCATTTTTTCTGCTGCTTTTGGGAAGGATGTGTACCTGAGGCACATGCCTGGAGTGCAATGGCATGGTGTCCATGGTGGCACGCCCCCTTCCTTTTTTTGCACGCACACTGGGGGAAATGTGCAAGGCAGCAGGACAAGGTTCTTCTGCAGTGGGCACATTCAGAAATTCCGGCCTCTCTTCTTCCTGTCACATGACTCTGATGTCACATGTTTTGGCTCAGTGGGCCCCTGCTGCCGCCTGGTGGTTAAAGGGGGCCTTGGGGCTGCAAAGGCTGAAGACCCCCCCCCCCCGGGCTTAGAGAAAAAGGTAATTAGCTCTAGAAGAATACAGAATAAATGCATGTAGGCATGAAATCTACAATCAATATTATGGAGGAGCACATCTCAGTTCTAACCATAAGTTGCTGGGTTTTTTTCTTTTTGGGAACTTGGGGGGAGGACACACAGGGTTGGCTCCATGCTCCCCCCCCCAACATCACTGTAACGACTGTAAGTTAAAATTAAACCATACACCTGAAAGCTGTAATTGCTTCCTTTGTTTTGTGTTGTTAGAAGCTGCTAAGTGAACAAACTCCACAGTGTTACTGAGTAGGCTGAATGGCGGCACGTCTTGCCAACAAATGGAGAGGAGAGCCAAAAGTGTTCGGAGTTTTTTACACTTGTTACTCTTAGGACAAATTCCACATGTCTCTTGAGGAGGAATGAAGCAGCACAACAGACCCAAAGTTTCCCAGCTGCAAAACTTTTCCTGCAGAGAATTTACATATAGATAGGCAAAGCGCCCCTCTGCCAAAGGAGGCAATCTGCAACACAAAGAGCCCCTTTGCCCCGCCTGTTCTTATCGCTCTCCATGCTTCAATCACATAGGAAAGTGTGGATATTAGTACCAAGAAGTGATGCTGCCGCCTCATTTCGTCTTAGGTTATTGATGAAATAATCAATGTCGGTGCTTGCTGGGTAATTCCCTTTTTTCCTTCTAAACAAATGAATGCTTAGTAGCCAGTCCCGAGGTCCCCACATGTGCTGGTGCGTCTGCGTATCAGTTTCACTCCAGCTGCTGACTTACAGCACAGTGCTATCTTGACTCACACAAAGTGTTCCCAACAGAAGGCTACAGAAAATGCCACAGGAAGCCTCCAAAATCTGGAAGTACGGGTATGACAAAACCTTCTGCAATAGCCAAGTTTGTTGGACAGGACAAAAAAAGGGGGTTCTGGTCTGCACCCTGTAAGAAATAAGCAGGTGGTTTTATTTTGCCCAGATGTGTCAAAATAGAACCTCCGTGAACTCACTGAATCACTGCGGTCATTATTAACTTGACTTCTATAGAGAATTCTTAAATTCTACAGAACAACAACAACAAAAAAGGCTGCTTACTGCATGCTCAACTTTCAATTATTTCCAAATAAAAATGTAGGTTCCGAAGGTCAAATTCCTGGTCTTCCAAAACAGAATGTGGCTTCTGACTACCAACCTGGAGACCCAGACAATAAAGACAGAGGCAATGAACTAGGAAAAACACAGTACCGCTTTCTCAGGGTTGTTATATTTTGAGGAAAGCAGAGACCAGAAACCTGCAACCATCTGTGTGTGATGAAGAGAGGGGACAACCCAAGGGGTGCCAGGGGTGCCCACATTTTATTTTTTGGGGGGAGGGAGAGAGGACAAGACTAAGCCCCCCCCTCAGTTTGTCACAGAACAGCTCTCCAGAGCAGTGTCAAGGGCTGTAATCCAGAGAACCCCATTGTTTTCATACAAAAAGGATCCCTGGCTTGCGGCAGGCACTTGTGTTCATCTGTCCTAAACAACAGCAACTCTGTATGTATGTATGATCACAGGATGACCTGGATGGCCCAGGCTAGTCAGATCTCAGAAGCTAAGCAGGGTCGGCCCTGGTTAGTACTTGGATGGGACACACCACCAAGGAAGGCCAGGGTTGCTACGCAGAGGGAGGCCATGGCAAACCACTTGCGTTTGTCTTTTGCCTTAAAAACCCCATGATGGGGTCATTATACATCAGCTGCAACTTGAAGGCACTTCGACCACCATCAGGTTGCTTTTAGACAAAAATTGCTACAGATATGGTACAGGCAGAGAGTTCCAGACCAGGTTTCAAGCTCACTTTACTTCATTCTCAAGGGTAACTTGCTTCCTACAGAATATAACGGCTGAACTGCAAGAGAGCATCTATATTTTAAAATGGGAGTGCCCATTACCTCACACTCCAAATTCTTCAAAGTTGAATTGGAATTTCAGAGTTAAACATAAAACAAAAAGGGGGGAATCCTGCAACACAAAAATAGCATGCATAAGAATCCACAAAGAGAAAATGATGCCTTAACCTAGATTCTTAGAAGAATGTTTGGACAGTGATATATATATATATATAACCTTGTCACCATACAGGAAGGATGTCAGGGGGCAGGGAAAGGACTTCTTGGTAAATCCTAGAGAAGAAGAAGAGACTGGATTTATACCCCGCCCTTCACTACCTAAAGGAGTCTCAGAGCGGCTTACAAACTCGTTTCCCTTCCCCTCCCCACAACAGACACCTTGTGAGGTAGGTGGGGCTAAGAGAGCTCTGACACGAACTGTTTGTGAGAGAACAGCTCTGAAAGAACTTGTAACTGACCCAAGGTCACACCAGCCGCTGCATGTGGAGGAGTGGGGAATCAAACCTGGTTCTCCCAGATTACAGTCCGTACCCCTAACCACTACACCAAACTGGCATTGCCCCAATATCATAACATCACTTCTGGTTTTTGCTGGAAGTGATGTAGTGCACAGGCACAACGCCAGCATGTCTTCCACCTTCCCCCACCACACATGAACACATATATGAAGCTGCCTGATACTGAATCAGACCCTTGGTTCATCACAGTCAGTATGGTATGGTATCCTTAGACTGGCAGTGGCTCTCTGGGGTCTCAGGCAGAGGTCTGGAGATGCTGGTGGTGGAACCTGGGACCTTCTGCAAGCTGGCCTTTGAGGTGCAACAGGATGGACTGCCTGGAGGTCTCCTGCCACAGTGTACCTGGCACCCCTACCATACAGTCAATCTAGTATGTAAGGCACACACAGCTTGCTCAGAAGGAGAGAAGATACAGGGAAAGGTAACAAGTGC